CAATAAAAACAAGGTTTTTTTGCTTTCCTATTCATTATGTTACTTAAAAGTGGCATTTAGCATCCCTGTTCCTGCTGTAATGAGAAAACCATACACGTGACAAACTAAACCCAAATTAAACATGCACCATGTCATTCCTCTCTTCTGATAAATAATACCAAGCAGATCCCTGTGGGGGTTGGTGGCTGTCACTTCTGTTTTTTCCAGCTCAGCCTTTTACCCTTGGACTGCCTGTCCCTGCGGAGTGGGAACAGCTGAGGAGGTGATGAGAGAAGCAGCGTGGGCTGGTGGGCACAGCAGCAGTTGGGAAGTCACAGGTTCTCCGTGGAGTCACCACTCTGTCTTCTGACTGTCATTCCAACTCCTGTAAGACATGGAGAGACAGACACGGCCACTTCAGGAGGCAAAGATGGGTGTATTTGACTGTATCTGTGCTTGATGTTCCCTCTTCAGAAAATGAATTTATCATGAATAAGCAGTAAACCAAGATTTTTTTTCAAGGAAACTAGAATCTCCCTAGTCCTAAATCTTCCACAGTTTCCTTTGGGAGTAGATACTTTTTGCCACTTCCCTCCAAAAAAAAAATAGCAGTAAGCTGTTCTGTGATTTGTGCCTGCCTGTAGTGTGTGAAATCTCAGCGAGAGCCCTTGTGGTGAGACCTCTCTCTTACCCATGTACTCACATGCATGTGCCCGAGTGGCCTAGCCAGGATCTCTGTGTGTGTGACATGAAGGATGTTAACTCTCCACTATCTTGGGTTCCTCTTTACTGACAATAACAAACCATGTCTGAACAGGTCTTGCATATGTTTTAAGAGGCAGCAGCTGTAATGAGGTGACAGTTTTGGTTCAGAAGTTTGCTTGCTTCAGCCTCCAAGAGCTTATTAGCCCTCAAGAGTCTTAGCCAAGATTGTTGCCTGTTGTCCTGTTTGTTCATTCTGGGTTTTGGTATGACAACAAATCCACCTCTCTGTTGGATAATGGGGAGACAAATAACAAATTAATTGTGCTATAACCATTTTTGTCACCCTCCTGCTACCAGGGCTCACGACTGCTGCTGATTAATCACCTATGCTGTGACCCTATCCAAATTAGTCTTGATGCCAACAACACACTCCTCAGTGTTTATCAGTTTTATGGCTATTGGGGGTCCTTGGGTGTCAATACAGCCCAGCCCTACAACCTTTGCTGTATTTGATACTCTCAGGTCCATGGTGTGACTCTTGGGGATGGTTCTGTGCAGGGCTAAGGGCTGGACTTGATGATCCTTGTGGGTCCCTTCCAACTTGGCATATTCTGTGATTCTTGATTACTTTTTCCAGCTGCTTTCATACTGTGATTCGTATTTCATTCATAATGGTCCCTGTATTTGTGTTATAAATCTCTACATGCTGGCCAACAAATGCCAAACCACTAAAGATGGTCTGATGGGGCTCCATGGTCACTCTTGGGCTTACAGAGTTTTATGCAGGTTGTCCAGAGTCTGCAACACTTGCCCTGCCATAACAGTCAGATTTGCCACCTGGAAATCTCCTATCTCCTCTGACCACCACCAGCCTGGGGCTTCACAGGCGAGGTGAACAATTTCAATCTGTCCTTCTGAATGAGGGATTGCTCTTTCCAGGCCTTAAAATAGGGAGAGACTTTAAAGAGATTTGAAAATGGAACTTAGGATCCCTAAGTCATCATGCATTTTTTTGAAAGACGTGCTCTGCATCCATATCATGTTACTGCTCAGCTGCAGGACTTTTCTTAGACTATCTGAAAGTGGATCCTTGCTGCTGTGTTCCAAAGGGGATTATTTTAATATTGTACTAAAATACCGACAATGAAAACTCATTACTTTAATTAGGGAGTGAGCACTCTCATCCTGGGTCTTAAGATTTCCAGTAAGCGGAGGTTGACTGCTGAAGTAAATTTTTACCATTTTTGAATTTTTGGAGGGTTTCTTTTACTGCAAATGCTATAGGTCTCTCCCTTGATGCCTTCTGTGAAGGCACATGAATCCAGGACAACGTGCTGTCTGAAAATTAAAAGGTTACAGAGTGTTTTCTGGAAACAGCTGCTTCATGGGCCAAGAGCACAAGTTCAAGAATGAGACATCTTTTAGAGGAAACAAGGCTTGCCTAGTTGAATGAGAAGCTCCAGGATTAACATTACAATTCATCTTCATATGCAAATACACAGAAACTCAGCAAACTGCTGGCCACAGGTCTGACTTCAGAATGGTTCCAGACTCATTTCAGCTCCGATGCAGAATTGCTGAGCAACACAAGACTGCAGTATTCACTTTATCTCCCAGCTGCACACCACTTTGTCTTGGGCCAGATACCAAGGCTCCTGCTCTTATAAGGGCCAGGTGTCCCAGTGAAATCACAATTTTTTAGCTGTTTAGTTTGGTTTTCAGGTCCAGCAGAGGAAGTCCTGATTTTTGCAAGTGTTCTGGCCAGCCTCTCCACACAGAATGCTGTCACATCTACTTGCTTGGAAGAAACCACCAGAGCAAGGCTGTCCCCTGGTCCACCATGGCCCATAGCAGTCACTTTCCAGCTGGGCTGACTAAAAGGCAGAGCAATGCATCCCACAGACTTGTCAGAATTTATCCCCTTTTTTTTTTTTTTTGTCCTGCTATTTGGTATTTCTTCTAGGATCAAGGGTGCTGGGATGAGACACAGTGTATCCCACAAAGTGTTCCTTTGACTTGGGCCATCAGAATACCTTGTAGGGAATCTGCAGCACAAGTTAGAGAAACTCTTTTAGCCCATGGCTTGTCTTTGCAATGAGAAACCTAATGAATAAGATATAAAAATGCAAAGGTGATTAAAAGATGATTAAAGCTGATGATGGAAATCCATCCATTACACTTGAAACGTTCTTTAAGGGGGGAAAAAAGTGGAAAGGAAATATTACAATGCATATTTTAACAGACAGTGATGGCTCTGAAATCAGGCAATGTTTCCAGGAGTCATGTGCATTGGGAATGGGCAGGTCTTCAGACTGTAGAGAAACTAGGAAATGAGTGCTCCATGGTTGTAACAGTGACCCTGGGCTTTGGTTCCCACTGACACTGCCCTCTCACAAGGGCTAAGAGGCCAGAAAGCACTAGTGATATTCCTTCCTAAAAATTATATATGCGTTTTGCATAGATGAAAAATCTTGAGGTGAAGTAGGATGAGACAAAGATTTGAAGATTTTTCTTGCGAGCAAAAGGCAGAAGGTACAATTCCTTTGGTCACAGCCCCAAGCCTCGCGGAGTTCAAGGAGTGTTTGGACAATGCTCTCAGGCATGTGGTGGGATTGTTGGGGCTGTTCTGTGCAGGGCCAGGAGTTGGACTTGGATAATCCTTGTGTGTCCCTTCCAACTCAGCATATTCTGTGATTCTGTGATATTCAAGTGCTGCTTCAGCAAAAGCACAGAGGTTTTGAATGTCACCTGGCACAGGGTCTAGTCCAGTGCCTCCCAATGATTTTACAGCTGAGCCTCTCTCAAGAGAGCCATCACGATTACATACCTCACTGGATCTGACTGTTCACCTGCCTCAGGGCTGCCATGGGCTCCCCTTCACTCAGGGGTCTTGTGCTGAAGGGTTTGCAGTGGCTCAGGCCTCATATTACACTGCTCCTAATGTGAAACTCTCTCACACTGGGTGTGCTCAGTTCAATTACACTTCCAGGTACTCTCCTCCTTAACATGCAGGCATCTCAAATGACACAGAAGATGCAGTTTCTTTGCTGTGAAAAGCTGACAGTCATATTGGCAAAAATATTTGTATAAATCTCACCTGTTTTCCTCCAACTAATATCTTAATAACTCCCGTGAAACTAATTTAAAAGATTAATTTGTCCAACCCCAAAGAAGCTGAAATGGTATCAGTGCAAAATGAGGGGAAACAAGCAAGGCAGATGGAAGGAGAGGCAAATTAAGAGAGTCATATGTTATTAAAAAAAATAAAGTGAGTATTGGCACTTGGGGAAAGGAGACAGTGAAACAATAGGGAGCTGTGGCCATTTTCCCTTTTCCCTCTTCTTTAGCACATTACCTAAGTCCTTATCTTGCACATACAAATAAAATTGCACCCCTGCAGGAGGCAATTACACCCTCCCCAAATAAATGTGATCATCTTGAAGTCACCTCAGTGAACAACATGAACACTGAATGTACCCGGCTACGTGTCACTGCAGGATCAATGCTCCAGCCTGCACACCCTGCTCAGCAGAATTGCCACTGCAATAAAGGCAGCAGGAGCAAGCCCAGGGGCTTCCTCTCCCTTTAGCATGGCTTACCTGTCTGTTAACCAGCCAGGAGTTCTCCTTTGAGAGGTACAGACCAAGCTTTAGCATGTGGATCGCTTAGGAAGAGATGCCTTGGATTTGCTGGGTGTGTACAAAAAGAGCAATGGCCACTTGGAGCCAATTATCCCCAAATACTGAGACGCTTGGTGATAGTGCCACCGAGGAAGTGGCTGCAAACTTTTCATTGCTCACTGATGAGGTCCTCAACTGTTTTTGCACCTTCTCCTCTAAATAAGGAAGCTGTGAGGCTTCTGACTAGCCGGCCAATTTGACTCCTTTGCTTTCCACAGCCAATGAAATCCCACTCCTGCCTCCAGTCTTGGGTGACAGCATTCATCAAAGCTCGGCCAGCCGGGGAGGACGGCAGGTTACTGTTACAGCCGTGGCAGGCTTACCTTTGGCAAGCTGTTGATGTCAGAGTGATGATGTGGGGAGGGACAGCCTCTGCACTATAAAGATGGCTCAATCAAATATAACCGAGGCTGCCCACTGGGGAGCAGGATCTACAAAACATGTTCCCCACCAGTCGGAGTCCTGCTGGCCTGTCTCTGCTCCCAACCCAACTGCTCTCGGGCTTTAGTTTCAGGTCAGCAATCTCTATTTGCTTTCCAAAAATAAGCCTCTGCCACCATGCTGAAGGGAGAAAAACAAGAAGGGCGGTATTTTTAGGGCCATTAATTCAGACCACGTGCCCAGGAGGTGAACCGGATGGCCACTGCACAAAGACTCCTCATCACTATGTCCTGCGAAGCCAGCGTTCACCGGACGTTCCCTGCCTTCGTTCTCCTGGGCTTTCTAGCTGGGATTGCTTCTACACATCCCGTTGTAAGCAGAACTAATGGCACATTGCTGGAGAGAGGATGGCAATCTCTGTTGTCCAGGTCCATTGCTGGGATGTCAGGGGAGAAGTCAGATGTGAACTGGGAGAGTGACTATTTGCTAGGAATCAAGAGGCAGCGGAGGCTTTACTGCAACGTGGGCATCGGGTTTCACCTTCAAATCCTCCCAGATGGAAGGATAAGCGGAGTTCACAATGAAAACCAATACAGTGAGTTGCATCCAGAAATGAAATAGAATAGATGTCACTTAATTGCTGTGAACTCTAATAATTACCCTTTGCAGAATGCAAATGTTATTACTTGGTATTATTAATCTGTTGCCTTTTGAAAGTCTCTGGGATCAATAAACATCAGGACCCTTTTGTTTGAAACATGGCACAAATGCTTAGCCAAATTTAGGTAGAATTTATTGTTACTCTGCTTTACTGCACGGATGAGAAAAAAGCCGAAATAGGTTGAAAACTGACTCTTCTGCTGCATTTTCTCACTCCTCATTTTCTCATTTGCCTTTTGAATCCGGGAGGTCGTCGCTTTGTTCCAAGTGCCAAAGCATGATTTTTGAATCCCAGCTGACTGTTTCTTTTGGGACGCTCGGTGTGTCCCATGGAAGGGGCTTGCTGTTCCTGGTTTGCTCATTCTTGTGGGTGCTGTTCTGTAGCTGTAAGAATAAAGAAAAGCATTAGTCATATGGATTTGAATTTCCTGCACAGGGCAGTTGCTAAAATCTTTTGCAGCTAAGATGTCATGTGGGACTTCAAAATAGTAAGCCACACTCCTCTAAAGCTAATAACAAACCCTCTAGAAGTATAGTATATTAGATAAAAATAATTTACTTATAAGAAAGCCCAAGAGTTTGACAGATCAAAAGAGTCAGATAGAGCAAAGGGATTACACAGTGTGTGACTATGATTTCAGAATAATTATTTTCCAAGCCTATGGCATGTTGGAAAATGCAAGATCTTCTCTGTGTACCTCTAGACTAGGGAGATAACTCTAATAGAGAAAATATGATGAGTTCCTTAGGGTTTTAAAATAAATAATGATATATGAATTGCCTTGGATTAGCTCTAGATTCTGTGATAACACTTCTGCTCAATGTCTTATTCTTCAGGCCTCTTTGAGATATCCACTGTAGAGAGAGGTGTTGTCAGCCTGCTTGGGGTGAAAAGTGCTCTCTTCATCGCAATGAACAGCAAGGGGAGGTTGTACGGAACGGTGAGTGCCAGTGCAAATACTTTTTCAAGGTTTAAACAAAGACTGCAGAGGTTTTAGAATGGTTTTGTTTGGTTTGGTGTTTTGTTTGTTTTTGGTTTGGTTTGGGTTTTTTTCTTCGTGGAAATCTGTGATTACAAGCAGAGAAAACAGCCTTGCAGCTACAGGGAACGTGCCCAGCCTGGTGTCATCAGTGTTATTTAGTGATGTTGGAGGTCTGGGATTTTAAAGCTTCCCAATAGGACTGTACAGGGAGCACCCTGGGAAAATGAATGTATTCTACAAATAGGACAGATTAATTGAGTGGCTTCTTCTAAGGTCTCAGTGCTGCAAACACATTCTAGTAAAAGTGAGCCCTGTTGATCCCCTTTTGCATTGCACTGTGTGTAGGAGAGGTACAGTTAGAGCTACTAGTAAAATAATGACCACATGCTTCCCCCTACCAAAAACAACCCCAGCATGGAAAATAAATAGGAAGTCTACCCTACAAGGCCAACATATGCAGTTGGGGTTATTTTAATGATCAGTTTTGTGAGATCAGTTGCAAATGATGAGAAAATAATGGCTATTAAGAGTGGAATGAAAACCATACTGAAACACTGTCACCATTGTCCTCATCAGGATGATTTGTCATCTAAATGCAATTTAATTTCTGAGGTATGAGCAAGACATCTCCAGGACATTCAGCAGTAAAAGTGCTTGTTAGGAAGTGCATTTGGAAGAGCCCATTTCAAAGTAATGAACAGCACTGATCTCTTTTGTCAAGGAATAGCAGAGTCCTTTCCTTTGAAACAGCTGTAATTTCAACAAAATATTCCAGTTGCTTAATAAAATGGCAAATGTTGTGAAGGACCCGTAGCCCCGTAGCCATTACTAACCTGACTGATTCCTTCTCACATAGATAAGGGACATTTTGAGGTTCCACCCCAGGAATATTATTTCAGTCATGTCTGATTACAAGCCCTTAAAGAGTGCCACAAACCCAACTGTTTTGCTTGACTGGGTCTTCCTGAAGAAATGCAGGGTCTGGCTTCAGAACTCCCTTTGATTGCCCCCTATCCCCCCCAGTTTCAATCCAGTTTTGTTTATCTTCAAAGACACTTTTAAAAGCTGTAAGAGATGTGTGTTTTCCCCCACACAACAAGATTTGAATGGTGTTATCACACAGGTGTCCAAATAGCACAGCACTGGTGGCATCTCATGTGTCAAATATTTGAAGTCAGAGAATTATTCTGTCTCTTTTAATTTCTTCTGCATTTGTCTCCTTCTTGTCCTTGCATTCCACTCTCCCAGATGACTCCTTATCCTTGGATTTACATGATGTAATGTGGAGAAAAACAAAACTGTCTTCCCAGGTTAGAACCCGCTTCATAGTTAAATATCACTAATGATTTATCGACAAAAAGATTAATTGTTAATCAAACTCTTATCTGAGCAAGTAGTTCTCCCTGGACATTGGTGTTTGTAAGAGAACTGAAGTTTTGACATCTAGCATGTAGTTTTTTTACAGGACTTCTGGCAGAGGGGAGGTATTAAATTAAGCTATGAAAAGGCCTGGTGCTGACAGAAATCTTTCCTTTCAAATAAAATGAAGAAATCCATCATTTAGAATTAATTAAGTTGATCTGCTGCAGGAAGTGCACAGTCCATTATGTGGACAGGTGGCATCTGAGTTCATCTGACACCAAATTAGCACCGAGGAGGGAGATTTATTGTTGGACACAGTCGCTGAGGCACCACCTGTTGCTCACTGCAACGAGCCCTTCTGTAAAAATGTGAGCAAGAAAAATGACCTGGGCTTTTGTGAAGTATTTATTGTACCTGCTTTGTTCTCCCACCCCCCTCCCCTTACTGTGCTTCAGGCTGTCTTCCAAGATGAGTGTAAATTCAAGGAAACCTTGCTGCCCAATAACTACAATGCATATGAATCAAATGCTTACCGTGGTACTTACATAGCCCTCAGCAAACATGGGAGAGTGAAGAGAGGAAACAAGGTTTCTCCTGCGATGACAGTGACCCACTTCTTACCCAGAATATGAACATGAGAAGACTGAATCCCAGGAAAAACTGTTTCATTTTGCACATGGGGAATAAGCTCCCAGGTAAAGTAGTATTTATACTGGTCATTGAAAAAAAAAAAATCTATATATGTATGTGTATATTTGGATAAAAATATTTGTACTAGATTCATCACATAGCGTATATAATATGATGCTGCTTCTCTTCTACTCTGTACAAATTTTACATGGCTGTGTGCCTCCTTTGGTGCTGTACAGAGAAAAAAAGCAAGCTGGAGTGCGAAGGATTTGGAAGAAAATTATACAAAAGTATACAAAAGAAGTATTCGGACCGGCTGTGGGCAACCATCTAATCAATCACTAAATCACTATTATTTACTAAATAATATTATTTACCTCAGACAATAACCTTTCCTAGTGAGCTGTTTACATATCATGGGCCAAATCACCAGACGATTTTGCTTCACCAGAGCATCAGGCAGTTCACTCGACCTGAATATCTGCCTGCACCTCCCCTTCTACAGACTGTGTCCTGTCTTGCAAAGTCCTCAAGCTGTTTCGATCACTAAGGTGCCAATTCCACAACTGTTTCTACACAAGCAAACTGTTTATCCCCAGAGACCCTCTGTCTCTGAAGGGATTCTCCTCACATGGACTGTTTGGCAAAATGAAGACCTACAATCAATTTCCCACAGGAAGGGTCATGGGATAAATCACAGATGGGTCCCAAATGCAAAACTTATTTGGAGCTGAGGATTTTGAATGGCATTTTGTGAGCTTAGTTTAGACTTACCTCAAATATAGATGTGCACATCTTTAATATAAGTACTTGTATATATATAGACATGGGATGTGTCAGTGTGTATCTATGTAATTACATGCTTTTAATGAATTAATCATCCCAGTCTCTCAAAGCCCAGGTGCCTTTATATGCATACACGCCTAAAAGAACATAAATATTTAAAGGCGCTGTGTTTCATTTAGGCTGAACTTTGTTAATCTCTAAGAACTAGAACTGATCTGCAGGATGCATTTTATACAGTTGAAGAAATCCATGGAAGCTTCCAGCAAAGGGTTATTTTAGAAAACTTCTCTGTTTTGAATTTTCTATTTATCGCCTTAAATATATTTGGTTCTTCTCTGTCATACCTCATGAGGTATGGAAGACGGAGAAAGAAGGAGGCTATATAAGCAAACCTTCCCAAGTTAGGACAGAGGAATTTGTGCCGTAATTCCAATTTCTGTCACTTGCAAAGCATCAGTTTCAAAAAGAACACAGCAAGCTGTGTGAAATACTCTTCAAAGCTCTCCTAGAAGCCGTACAAATGGGCCATAACCTCGCCTTGCTATTTTGACAACCTTCTTCCAGATCACCAACAAAGCTGCATTCCCTGTGCCTTTGAAAGAGTATTTTGAGAGGCCCTAAGTCAATAGTCACTATAAATGTCAGTTACCAGAAGCCTTGGGATTCCTGCATTGATGGTGTGCTCCTAAATTTGAAACTAGATTCAATGCAATGTCAGAGCACGAGCATTTTCAGCATAGATGGGCCGTGCTGCTGCAGAAGGGAATATATGAGTGCAAGATTATCTCCCACGGCCAGCCAAAATGGGGCTATGTCTAGCCTTGACATGCCATTCTATTTGCAGGGAGTGTCTATTCGTGATGAATTTGAGCCTTCTGACATGCATGAAAAACACTGTCAGGGCCAGATCCTCACTTGGAGTAAATTAGCCTACTAAGACTATCAGTTTATAGGTGCAGAAGATTCGGCCCAAAGAACACACCCACAAGGATGTACCGACAGCCACCACTCCTGAAAACTGCCAAGACAATTGTTTTGTGAACAAGATACAGTTTTCCAGCATCTTTTGTGTGATTGATACTTGAATTTATTTGGCTGAAATGTAAGTGCTGGTTTTAAACTGATCACAGTTTACATGAAGAGAAAAAAGAGGGGAATGCTGCTTACAGGACATGAATGAGATGCTTTGGATGATGCTTTGGAAAGAAAGGAGTTACTCTTCATTTTCTGGTCTTGCAGTGTGTAGAGAGAAGCCAAGTTGACACACTTTGTTCGTCCACAAAACTCACAGCAGTTTGCTTTGGAAAAATGTGCATTTCAAATGAAAAATCAGGATATTCTGAGAGGGGAGAGTGGGTCAGAGGAAAGTTTGGAGGGTATCCGACAGTCGCATAGAGTCCCTAGAGGTAGAGATAGGAAGACTGCAGCTGTGATGAAATGCATAAGCTGGCAACCAGTATCCTGGTGTTATATTCCTAATTGTCTTTGAAATGAAGTTTGAAGAAGGATGGAAGAGTACATGGATGTGAAAATGTGGTTCGAATTCTGACACACAAGTTTGTTTCTGATTACAGCTTAAATCAGTCTTCTTAGGATAGGATGAAATCTGTTCCCTCTTAAACCAGTGCAGCCTAGAGGAATTTATTGTTGCCAGTACTGACAAGCAATGGGATAGCTGACACAAAAGGTGAGAATCAGACTCAGTGGCTCTGTTTTTCACACACTGGTCAAGGTGAGAACAAACCATAGACCAGGTCACAAGAAGCCAGAATGAGGAAATGGCCTCAAGTTGCACCAGGGGAGGTTCAGGTTGGACACAAGGAAGAATTTCTTTACTGAAAGGGAGGTCAGGCATTGGAAGGGGCTGTTCAGGGAGGTGGTGGAGTCACCATCCCTGGAGGTGTTCAAGAAACTGCTGGACATAGCACTCAGTGCTCTGGTCTAGTTAACAAGGCGGGGATCGGTCAAAGGATGGACTCGATGATCTTGGAGGTCTTTTACAGCATAAATGATTCTGTGATGCTACAGATCTGTGCAGACACAGCCGGCTGGGCTGAGATTGTTCTTAGGAACTGCAGACCCTTTCAGGTGCAGTTTTGGTGGGCATTTGGAAAGCCCCATCAGTCACTCTGCTGAGTTACTCTTTACAATACTGCGTTTTTTCCTTATTACACATCAGTGACAGCTAGATCAACACTGAAGTCAAGGCTGAAATCAAAAAAGGTCTCCTGATGCCAGGAATACTGACTAATATGATATGTCAGGAGGGATAGCTGTGGGAAGAAACCCCTCCAGGACAAATAGTGCAGAACTGAAGCCCTGTGGAGTTTTAGACCAGTCGGATATATGCTTTGACAGAGGTGCTTCTTAAGTGAATGCAAGTCTGCTTTCCAGAGAGGAGCTGAGGAATGTTTTGGCACACTGCAAGCAGTCCAGGGGCTGCTCATGGTAGCAGGGTTCAAGAAGTTATGCAGCTAAGCTGTGCCTGAGAAATGGCCTGATCCTGTTCTGCCTCATGCTTGATTAGCTAAATTCCTCCTTCTTAGGCCGTTATCGTGGGGAAGGAGGATTTAGGAAGCCCACCATTCCTTTTGCACACCTTCGGATAAATTTGTTAAGCTGGCAAAACCCAAACCATTTGAAAGCCTAATGTACGTGATACGGTGGCTGTGGAGTGAATATGAACATCATCAGACAAACTCTTACAAAAAACCTTCTTCCAAAGAAAAGTTTCATAGATGGGTGACTACATAAAGAAAACTCATGAAAGTGAAGGGATTTCCCAGACCAGGGCCAAATTAGGAACTGCAACGCACATCTCATCTCAGTGTGGGGGGTCATGACATGGGCTACAGCTCTGAAAGCATTGCTGTGAATGCCCCACACCAGCCTGTCATGCCCATATTTTCCACATGGGATTCTCCTGTGGAGTTGATACCTGTTTTCAAGGTTTCTTCTTCCTTAGGCAAATCCAATAACAATTTCAGACTTAATCCACCCCCGTTAGAACTGAGTCATGTTCTTAAATAACTGTATTTTTCCCAAATGTGCAGAGGCACAGATACACACACAGTGGAAAAGCAGAGTAATATTTGTATACCTCACTAACTATTTCAATTCCAAGATTTTTTTTTTGCACAGTAAAATGGTGCCAAAGTTCTCAGATTACTTTTTTTTTCACTAAAATATACCTCATATTCTGAATCAATATGGACTCACAACTGAGACTGTAAATTTGCAAGAAACACGAAACTGTCCAATCAATTGTTTGTGAAATTGCTTCTATTTTTATATGTATGTGCTGTGCACAATAGTTTAATGTATTCCTAAAATAAAACTTTATACATTTTTGGTAGTGTTTTGACTCTATGTCCCTCTTAATATTTGGGTTTTTTCCTTGATTACAGAGATTCTGTATTAACCACGTTCAGGGCAAAGGGCAGCATCAGTGCTGGCACCCAGAAACCCCCCATGCCCTGGGCTGCACCCAAAGCAGTGTGGGCAGCAGGGGAAGGGGGGGATTCTGACCGTCTGCCCCACTCTGGGGAGACCCACCTGCAGTGCTGCCTCCAGCTCTGGGGGCCCAGCACAGCAAGGACATGGAGCTGTTGGAGTGAGGGACACCAAGATGATCAGAGGGATGGAGCAGCTCTGCTGTGAGGAAAGGCTGAGAGAGTTGAGATTGTTCAGCCTGGAGAAGAGAAGCTTTGGGGTGACCTAATGGTGGCCTTCCAGGACCGGAAGGGAGCCCACAAGGAAGATGGAGAGAGATTATTTCCAAGGGCCTGGAGTGACAGGACAAAGGGGAATGGCTTCAAACTGACAGAGAGGAGGTTTAGATTGGATATTAGGAAGGAATTCTTCCCTGGGAGGGTGGGGAGGCCCTGGCACAGGTTGCCCAGAGAAGCTGTGGCTGCCCCATCCCTGGAAGTGTTGAAGGCCAGGTTGGATGGGGCTCTGAGTAACCTGGGCTAGTGGAAGGTGTCCTTGCCCATGGCAGGGGGCTGGAACAAGATGATCTTTAAGGTCCCTTCCAACCCAAACTGTTCTATAATTCTATGATTCTATTCTGCTATCTGAGGGCCATTTAACAACTATGGTGCTAGAGACAGGTAAAAAGAGTCTGGGCTCCTAAGGCTGATTACTGCCATTTTTAATCAGCTGTTATTCCTATCATTATTGCCCTCTGGTGGTTATTTTGTTCATTTAGCAGTGA